TATTATGAAATGTAGCTGTAACAATATCGTATTTGTATAATGTCCTTCATGGAATTATTTTTTGAAGCTTTAGGTGTTACTATATCGTACTTTGAAATTGTGAATTATGTTTAATATTCTGTTAAATGTCAATAGGAAATTACGAGTATATAGAAAAAATTAATATTAAGACAAAAAAATAAAAAAGAACGCGTTTTTTATTTATTTGTATCTTTTTGTACTGCATTGGTAACATTGTAAGCGACACGGCAATGGCGAGGGGGTCATATAACCCCCAGGCAGTGTGACAAAAATTTACATTAGATGTCTAGTCTATTCTGTCTCGTCAATGCCTCTAGTCTATGCCTATACTGTAACGATAACCTAGGGAGTGACACTACAATGGTAAAACGCTTTTTCATAAAATTTTGTGTCTTCACTTCAGAATTACCAAAAATCCATCTCGTACACATTTTCTTTATGCAAGATAAAGCGACATGTAAAATATTAGTGTAAGTAGAACATAAGACCTTCAGAAATTACATGGGGAATGACACTAAAATGATAAAACAATTTTTTATTAAATTTTACATCTTTCACCATTCACATCGCCAGAAGTCCATTTCACAAACATTGTATCTGTTTCAAAAGAACCTGTATGTAAAATTTCAGCTCAATCGGATTCAACAAGTCTTCAGAGACAGAGATAGGTGGTCTACCGCCTTATTCGTTTGCCAATTTTATAAATTGAATGCGCGTTGCCAACAACAGTTCTTCACTTTAATCAAATCCATTATTAAAACCAGACATCATGTTAAACAGTTCCTCTAAACTAAATTATCATTGTCTTAATAACCACTATGGTAACACAATAACCATAATAGTAGGTTTGGTGGCGCCACTTAGCAGAAACAATTTGGTACCATTTGGCTAGAAGTTTGAGCGATCTCGCAATATGTGACGCCACCAATCCGGGATAAGTTTTAAAAATTACTTTCCTTTATTATTATCTCAACGGCATTTTAATAAATTAAACACGATTATCCTGGTATTAATTAAATTAATTATAACATTCAAATTTATTATATAAAGAAAACATGTAACTCTGTTCCAAATTCTGAAAAGGAAATACAAAAGTCTAGTGTCAACATTTCTGCTATTCCTGCTGTTCCTCTTTCGTGCCCCCTCGTGAAACCTCGCGAATCCTCTCGTAAAGGGATTTCTCGAACGGTACGAGGGGTTTCCTGAAGAGGCACGAAGAGTTTCTAACACAGTTCGAAGGGTTTCTCGAGACGGTTTCAGGGGGCACCACTAAATCAGCTATTGACTACGCCCGCGAAGCTTAAAAAGAATGATTATCGTCTCGTCGTCGTTTCTCAGCAACGCGCGCGCAAAGTTTGAGATAGTAGAATATCGTTCCCTTCTCTTATTCAAATTAATCAAGTCCCACTACGCAGTGGGAATACAAATGATATTGAAAAGTTAAATAGTTCAAACATTATCGCGAATCTAACATTCTGTTTTAGTGTTATTAAATTAAATTCGCACCGATACCCGTCGACGTCGTGTGAAATAAATTCTTGTTGTTGTTTGTTTAAACTACTGTCGAGTTCTCCCTTTTTGACAGCGATCCCGTAGAAAAGTCTAGCTATATGAAGGCTGCAGTTCTGTAACTACGACCGATGACTATATGGGTCGGTTAGTCTGGACATAACCTATTACCGACATCCATAAAAAAGTAAATAGGTGTGCCACCTGTAGTTGACATGGCTAACTTTCATTGTGCCGTTTGAAAAAGTACGTTACGTTGCGACTGGATCAGTAGTGTTTCGGCGGTATCATAAATTCTTCAGCATACTACTATTTAATAGTAACAATTTTGTTAATAAAACATATTAATTTATGGCTTGTTGCCTTCAAATAATTCTGTATCATCTGCAGTGTTGAAGGTATTATAAATGAATTTAATTAACAGCCAAAAAGATGAAGAAATGAATGTGCTCTACTCTAACTACGGTCACGAATTGATTAATGATCTCTGTAAACGAATCATTCTAAATATATGAATTATGAATAGAAATACGTTACAACCGTTGAGAGCAGGCTCGCGTGTACGTTTCATTTACGCTTTCGAAATATATCGCAGCGCAATTGGAAATTTAGAGAGAATATCAAAAAAATTATCCATTTTCGAATACTTGTTCAGAAATACGTTAGATTTAGAATTATTTGAGTAATGGTAACTAACTGAGTCAATACTTGGAATACTTTAATATCACTTTATTGACTACAGACATATTTAAACTGAAATACTGTGATCCGACCTATCCGCATCCTCCGTTAAAGTTTTCCGGTATTTTTTACACTCAAAACACGTTTTTCTCGGTTATGCTGCCGGGGTTCGTAACTATAAAACAAATTAGAAAGTTCGCAGCACCATACAATTTGCGGCGCACCATCGATACGCCGGAAACGCTTAGTAATTACAAAGAACAAAGCTCGAGTAATATCGAGGTACTGTAATGAGTTTAGGAGCTTTTCTCTTTCTCTCTCTTTCTCTGCTTCAAATGTAAGCAAAGACACTTTCTTACTTGAGCATGTTCTCGATCTCTCTTTCTCTTTCTTTCCCTCTCATACACATATACATACACACTTACAAGCACACATATAGGACATGCATACCCACTCATACAGAAATATCAAGGTGGCTAAAGATTAACGATACATATGTATATATGTATACATATATAAATATATATATACATATATATATAATATATAAATTGCAATTTTAAGTTTAGCTTCCTTTGAGGAGCTTTCCAGCTGTTACCGTTAAAATGCAGCGAATGCTGTGTCCGACGAGCTGAGAAACGTTCACGAGTATCAACGCCATCAGGCAGCAACTTCTCGTTCGAACATTTATATACTTGTTTATCTGTAACAATCTCATGATCCCATAAAAAATATCATGGTCGCTACGGCGCATCGTTTTCGCTGCATTTTCGTTGGGCGACTTAGCCGTGAGCATTACGTAGAACGTGCATGGTAAACTCAACAATCATCAGGATATAACAGATCCTTAACTTATCAGTAACCCTACATGCCGCGTTCGAAATTCTTTGACGCGGCACTGTAGTCGCCCAGGGCCAGTTCAATTCATAGATGGCACCATTTGGTTGTTTACTTGTGTGTATAGTATGTTCCAAAATGAAGAGCAACGACGACTTATAGACAGGCTCAATGAAATATTAAGTACATTGGAACAATCTTACATAGTGACATCAATAGTAAATTCAACTGGAGATAATACAGTTCGTTCAAAATTACGACTCAATTATCCCCACCAAGACGTTCAACCACACCTCTTGATTGACACTCCTGTTTAGCCACGCCCCCTCACGGCGATCTCAACACTTTGAGTGCCTAATCATTTTCTCCGACCAAATGAAATCTGTATAAATCAGCGTTTGTCTTAGTTCTAATATTTTTAACTTTATCGCTATATTCGGTCCTTAACTAAATTTACATTATTTAACATTTTATTAGAAATATTCAAGTTTTACTTTACTCCGAAAGACAAGTCCGCCCAGTGGGTAACAGACAGTCAAAGTGTTAGAGGATCGGTACCTGTATAACAACTTCGAACGGGACTGGCCGTGGGCTCATGACGACAATTAGAGAATAGCACGATAAACTATATGCACGAACTGGTTAACATCTGTGATTAAACTCTTCCCGCTGTTTTCATTCAAAATAATTGTAGCGATTGTGCGTAATCACTTGCCCGGCTCTCGCCGTGCACAATACAAAAAGAAAGTAAAAGAAGGCAACAAATTTTATCTTCGAAACGATAAGGAACGTATGCGACGTTTAAAAATTCGCGTGTACGATGAGTAACGTGCACGTGGATCTCGAGTTATGTTTCCATATATCGTAATGATCCACAGATTCGAGAAGTCCGATCAAAGACTCGCTTTCAAAAATGATTGGCTGATCACTGAAATGAAACAAGTCTTAGGATCATCGAGGGGAAACGATTTAGAACGCGGCTCTTCTAGCTCATCTTATTTGAAGGATGAAGTTTCCTTCTTTCTCTCAAGGTGCAACAAAATTCAGACTCTTAGGGTATCTAACTCGGAGTTCATCCGATAAATCCCCTGGACCTCATTGCATTTCAGTTTTGAACCCCTCTGAACAAAAGCACATAAAAGCGAATGGTCGTCGCACGATAACTTCAGTCGCATTGTTCATTTTACTGTCCGAGCTAGCTCAGAACTGTAGACGAATCGTCGATGACGGTTTTCTAGTATTATTTACGGTTAATTATAAACACGCAACGCTTCGATTACTAATCTCCATGAAAAAGAAGGGTGACTCGATATTATACAATCGATCGCGGACTGAATCGTCTCGCAAGTGAACGGGTGTAACTACGGGTCGCGTACACACAATTCTAAAAAGTCAAAGTGGCACTGGTTACAGGAGCAGCCTGAGTCATGTTATGTTGACTAGAATACATTTCCTTCTTCTG